AAGGAAAAGACGCGCTTTTTAAGAATCGTGAACAAGTTTCGCGATCGATCGCACGATTGCTCGAGACTGAATAACAGTGACAGGGATTGTGGTTCCGAGATATGTGGCTGGGAACGTGAAGATATGAAATAAAATTGTTATAACATTCAATCGAATAGAAATTATGGATTAATGTTATTTACGCTCGAAAACATTTGTACTAATCAATTAATCGCACAATTTTTTCTCTTTACCCCAAGAAAGGAAATAAAGACGCGCTTTTTAAGTTCGATCGCATTGCTCGAGATTGACTCCAGTGAATAACAGTGATATGGATTGTGGTTCCAAGATATGACGTAGCTGGGAACGTGAAGATACGAACGAGACTTTTTTATGGGTTAATAATAATAAAATTGCCGTAACGTTCAACCGAATAGAAAATATGGATCAATGTTATTTACGCTCGAGAACGCTCGTAGCAATCAATTAATCGCACAAATTTTTCCTTTCTACGATAAAAAAGAACGCGTGACCGTTCTCAAGCGGTGACGCACTTACGACTCTTTAAAGAAATCGATGCGCTAAACCGTGCGGGTAAATATATAAGGATCCGTCCGTGGAGGGATTCCAGCGCGGCTTCTGCCCGCAAAACAGAGACAATCCCCGCGGCTGACAAAATGGCAGCGACGGCCAACAAATCTCCGAAGTGGTTCGCGGTCGGATTTACGCGCGGCAAGAAAATTATTGCCGACACACGTGAGTTACAACGCGGCACAGGTAGCTCGGGTGTCGAACAAGCGGTCGATAGCGGCGGCAAGCGAATTTCATTTCGTCGAGAATTCCGTTCTTCTCGATCGGGTTTCGATCCCAAATCGTCAACATCGTTCTCTCTCTCTTTCCAACGACGAAAATCCGTCGAGCGAAATGGCGGACGTTTCGATATCGAGGGGGAAAAGATTGCCCCGATCGCTTTGAATTCCAGCCCAAGTGAATCGCATCGGGCTGAATTCCTGTCCCCTTTTCGATTCTCAGGCTAAATGGAAATTCTCGCCTTGCTCTCGCGTGCCAAACAGGGATGAAATTCTAGGGTATTAATTTCGCGCACGGACACATTTCTCTCCTTTTAATTGGAAATTTTCAATGTTCAGGTTTTAATTCCTCCTCGCCCGTTTTTAATCGAATCTATCTATATCCTCCATCTTCCATCGATAAAATTTAATCGGAAATTTAACGGGAAATCGTTGGATAATATTTCATCGTTTCATTTATATTTTTCCTTCCCCGACTCGTGTATAAATTCCGTTATAAAACGTACATTCCAACTTTTCGGATAAACCTTTCGATCGATCCATCATTCCATCATCCAAAAAAAAATTCAACGACAAATAGTTTCCCTATCTAACGACCAACTCTTTAAGCCGGGTCGATTACGTCGTCTTCATTAGTCTAGGTTTTCATTCGGTCAACGATACCCGCGACGCGATAATTCTTTTTTTTTTTTTGCGTGGAAAATTTGCATCGCTAATCCTCGCGGAACGGTGTCATCCGCGGCTCGATAACGGGCCGCAAAACGACGAGGCAAGTACGCGTAATACGAGCCTAATTGTACGTGCTCTCGAACGAAGCCAGATCGCTCAATCGTGAAGCTGCCTACGCTCATACCGCCCCGCGGATAAACAGCGGATCTCTTACGAGCGTTCCTGAAATAATCGTAGACGGTCGTATAAATGGTTATCACCGTCGACGTTTCTCGACACGCAACACGCGGCGGCGACCCGTTTCAGCCGGTTTCTCCAACAGAATCCGATTTTCCTTTTTCCTTCTCGCGCATTTCGCGAAATTCGCGTGTTTTCGTTCGCCGCCTTATTAACTCGCCCCGATCGGAAAAGGAGGAGGAGAAAGAAACGCACGTCCACGCTGAGTCCACGATGGTCCGTGGCAAAAACCTTGCTAATGGTAACCGTGAATCACGCGCGCAGTAAGCAATAGTGATGGTATCAAGCGATTCGATGCACGCTTCTCAATTGAAATCGCGTCAAACGCGTCGATAAAATCGAAATCGGATTCATCCCGATGCTCTTGCGAAGCGTTCGATCTTCGTTTGTGCGAAATTATAAAGAACGAGCGAGTTTTAAACCATTCCACAAGATGTGACCGAAATTCACTTTGGAACGAGTTATATTCGATATCCTCGAGAGAATTGAAAAAAATCGTGTTAAGAGCGTAGCTCGAAATATTCGCAAAGGATTCGAATCTAGTAGCGGTTGAAACACATTTGTAACATGCTCGGTCCCATCGCTAGCCGACCGGTGATACCGGCTCTAATAACGCGGCCATACTTCGAAGAAATCGCGACATCGCTGTTCCTCAGACCGCATATTAACGAATCTTCTTCCTTTTTTTCTTCTTTTCTTTTCTTTTTTGAGGAAGAGTGGGGTTGAGACGACAAATAGATCGATCGTTCCGTAGGTGGCCGCTCGGCCTGTGTACGATTTAGAAAGGCACGAAGGATGACACCACAGGCAGGCGCACATTTTGCTCGTGTTTCGTTAATCGTTGAACGTTGTCGCGGATCGGACGGCGACTTGGACGCAATATCGCTGTCTCAAGGACAAGCGCTTCGCCTCACAGAGAACATCAACGCGGAGGTTGCCCCAGGGGTGGAGAATGTTGCATTGAATTAACCGCTTGGAGCTTGATACGGATTTATGCGTCCTCTTGCAACTTGTTCGACCATTGTTGCGGCCAATTTATCGCGTGTAGTCGATCCGAGAAAGTAGCAAACGTCCACGGGCTTATTTACGAGGGCGTTGCTTGCTTCGTCTTTTTACTCGTGAATCCGAGTCGAATAACAATGGCTTTTAGCGTGTTCACGTAAGAATTTTGGAGAAATATTTATTTATTATTATCGGGATAGGAACGATAAATTGTCAAACGATAAATCAATAAATACGTGTAATTTTTATCAATCTTCTTTTAAATCGTTCTATTTATCGTACAACGAGAAAGAAGGAAGCGAGCCGTTTATCTTTTTTCAAGTAAAAAGGAATGGACGAAAATGGACGTATCCCAATATTCGTGCGAAGATGATTCGCCTGAAAAGGAATACCACTGGAAATGATTCCATATCATCCACGAGGAAATAGTCACGAAACGGCTATTATCGCAATTTTCCGTTCGATTCACATACGCTATCGCGTGAACGAAACCAGCAAAAGCCTCAAGCCGTAAAAAGAGAATATCCTTCCACGAATATCCTTTCAAATATCCTTCACAAATTCATCGCCATCGCACAACTATTCGATAAAAGAAATCCGTTACGATCCGTGCGATGATAAACCAAAATTCCAGCCAAAAATCTTAATTATCGAAACTTCTTCGCCTATCCTTCCACCACCTCGTTATTCCCGTCGAATTAACTCGAAACGAGACACGCCAGCGCGAGAAAGGTGTATCCAACCACGGATCCGTGCCACACCACCGGGCCCCAGTCCCATAAAGCAGCGCGATACAATGCGCTATCGTGGATCCGCGCAGGGAACACGTACGTACGCAGGGAATAGGCGACGTGGCCGGCGTGTAGTACTTTCGTTCTTTTACCCGATCAAAGAAGAATCGACGTGCTCGTTTGTACGTCCCCATGTCGACACACCGATCCGTGCACCCCACGTTTACAGGGAAACAATAACGCGAGCCCGTACATGGTATACGCCGGATCGTGGCCAGTTCCCCACGGCGACGATACGTACATTCGGTGCCCGATACGCGCGTATAACTTGAATACCGATTCCATT